TGTATCTTCATCTCTCTAGCATGAGTATTTATTGTTATAGTTTTGTAAAAGGCAGTTCTGCCTAAAAACAGTTTAAATTCCATCAACCATTCTGGCCAGAAAAACCTCTTTATACTGAGATAAATTGTTAAAGTCCTCACCAGTCTGAGGCAAGAAAAGAACTTACTTGGGAGATATTTCTCACCCAAATTCACAATCGTTTGTTTGCAGAAATCAGTAACTTGGGGCGCAAGTTATCCATTCCAAACTAAGTCTGCCAGAATTTTTATTACTAGCAGTGGCACGCTCGCACACCAAAGAAAGCTGACTTGTTGACCAGTCTATGGTTCTCAAGGCAGTAGGGAACTTTGCCCTTCCATCATAGGAGTAAACGCAAAACGGGCAAACAGCAGCTGTATCAGTTTCTGTTTTAGGATGTTTGTGAACAAGTTCTTTGTTATTATAAGACGTTTTGTTTTATACCTAAACCGGCTGAACCAAACCGGATATGAATGGTTTGGTTTGGTTTTCATTTTGATTTTAGCTCAAACCGAATGGCATTGAACCGTGAAAGTTTAATTGGTTCAGCTGTGGTTTGAGGGTAAAACCGAACCAAATTGGACAGTGCCCACCCTTATCGGTAATGGTCAAATAAGTGTGGATAGTGCTCTAAACTACTCTTATCGATAAACGAAATTCAAGGAAAATTTTATTTTTTTAAAAAAAGAAAAAAGAATCCACTTATATTATTAAAAAGTATAGCCGCTTGGCTATATGCTTTAACTATTCTATTTATTTAAAAAAAAACCCCAAGTATAGCCGATTGGCTGTACTATTTATTAAAAAACAAATTTAATAAAAAAAAACCTCACAGTATATCAGCATTGGTCTTTTGCAATGTGTTTTTCTTTTTCTGGGTGGTGCCTTCAGATAAACAGCGCAGAAAATAGATCTGTGCTTCATGTAGCTCTTCATGCTCCAAGGGATGCAGTTATACATAATGATGGGAAAAATTGAAGAGAGAAGTCTCCCAACTAAAGAAACACCACGAAGTCTTCCCCTATAATTCTGCCATCGACATATATTTCACCATCTATCAAGGGAGATCGCTCTTGACAGAAGCAATCTCATACTCTTTCCTATATGCAGACCCTTGTATTTATTCTAAAGATATTTACTTACGTACTGTTATTAGCCCCATAGGGGCTAAGGTTCAACTTCGATCCTTCCTTTCCAATTCAATCTTTCTTTCTTCTCAAACACAAAATCTTCAAAATCAATGGTGATTCTCAGTCTTTGTCAGACTCTTTCTCCACCCGTTGTCTGCTCTCTCAACAAAATTCCCAAAACACAGTATCCTATATCCCAACCTCTTTCAATATCTCCCAACTATTCACCACTCCCATGGACCGAAACAACTATTTAAGTTGGAAATCACAATTTGAAGATGTCTTGGAAATTCATGGCCTTGACGAAGTTGTGAAAGATGAAGCACGACCAGAGAAAAGGCTAACTGATGGATCTATGAATCCTGCCTATTCCAGAAATAAATTGGTGTTAAGCTGGATAAAGGCAATGTCATCTTCCTCTATCAAAACTCTACTTATCCCATGCGCAATCGCTTATGAACCATGGACTCTCCTTGAGAAACACCTCTCTTCCTTCTCAAAGGTAGGGGCTTAGCTCCTAGAGGAGTAATCGGGGCCTAGGCGTTTCTTTTTATTATAATTTATAATGATTTTGTATTATAAATTATAAATTAATACCAAAATCATGCAAAATAAAATGATATATAAATTAGAGGCCTAAAATAGAAAGTACCATAATTGATATAAAACATGGTGAAAAAGTTAAGCATAAAGCATATAATAATACTTTTTTATTTTTTCAATTAACATATTAGTTAAAAATATTACATTGCAGTTTTTGTGTATGGACCGAAATGGTTTTTGTTTGTTGGGCCCATAACTCCTACCCACCAAAACGATACGTATAGCTAAATAACTCCTCCACAACAAAACGAAGCGTACGACGTATTCCATTAGGTCATCTTCTTCGCGTTTAATTACCACCTAGTGCTGCCGCTGCAAGCTCGTGGAGCAGATCCAGCCAAATCTTCTTCGCTTAGTTTACCATATGATGCCGCCTAAAGCTCTCGGAAATGAAGGATCCGCCCAGGAGCCCAGACCCGCCCAAGGAGCGCCTAGGCGGTCTCCTAGGCCCATTTTTCGAACACTAGCAGCATATGCATATGCATGATATAAAAAAACCAACTGGTAGGAAATGGAAGGTGATGAATGATTCTGACATAGACAATGTACCACATGAATATAAATTAATGCAAAAATATTCCCTTGCATTGCGCAATCAACCATAAAATATGCAGAACACGAGTGGTATTGTACAATCTCTTCTCTCGTGTTCTGCATATTTTATGATTGATTGTGCAATGCATCCCATGATCTTGTTACCGGATTGAAGATACTCATGCTATATATTATAAGTAAAATATAGGTGCTGATAGGGTTTGTGATCCGGTGGTGGGGAGACGATGCATAAACATTGCTGATATAGTTTTTGGATCCAGATTGAAATCACATTGTAACTGATTCAGCTGTGAAGAGGATGAGTTGCTCTTGTCTCCCGAACCGTGTGATATATATTGAGCAATGCCAAAGGGAAGGAAAGCAAACTGAAACACCAAATTGAACATTCAACTGCAAAGTACAAGACCTTTCTCTTTTCCAAGATTTGAATGATTGTGTAGAGAAGTTTCTTCTATTGCCACACTCTCAGCAAACCTTATCCCAGGAGTGTGGAGACAAATGGATCAATGAACTACTAGATGGATTGTGAGGCTCCTGGATGTGTGTGGCATCATTAAGCATGATTGTTTGCCAGCCACCTCAACCAAACTCTCTTTCAACTGGGAAAAAAAACGTGTTTTGTTTCTTTTGTTTTTGTTCATTTTGCACCTGGTGGACATGTGGCAGCTACCACTATCTAGAACACTGTTTAGCCACATAACTACTCCTAATACCACATATCATGAGATCATTGTTTGGGCATTTACTAATTTGTCATTTGTCACCTGTAGTTACAGGAAAATATTGCTTTTATTATTATATTAATTCTTGCTGTATGTCATCTCAGGCTTAGTAGACTTGTAGTGTGCTCCAAAATAAACTAAATGTTGCCAATAGAATCATGTTAGTGTCAATTGTTTATGAGATTGTGAGTAATTATGAGTCATTGATGCATTGCATTGCGAGATCATAAGCTTATTCGCATTGCTCGTTTCAAGTATTTGAGGCTATATAGAAGTAGAGCCCAATTTTCTACAATTCATGCATACCCAATAGAATTATGTCAATATTAATTGTCTATGCGTTCGTGAATGATATTGCAAACCGTTGATGCATTGCGAGACCATTAACTCGCATTCGCATTGCTCTTTTCAAGTATTTGAGGCTAATAGAAGTGGAGCCCAATTTTCAACAATGCAGGCAAGGATTTACTTTGATCCTTAATAACATGTATGGTCACTTTGGAGGCAGGTTGTTTAGACTTTCAAAACTCAGCAGGTGTCCTCTTAGTGCCAGCCTCTCTAATCAACTCTTTTGCATTAACTTTTTTTTCTCGTGCTTGAACATTTATAGATTTCGATAAAGAAAAAAAACCTTTATAGATTCTAAAGGACGTGCTCATGCACATCTGTTGTTGCCTTGAGAGATTGGGATGGTTGGTTTTCAGTGACAACTGAGAATGACTTCTTTTGGAAGGGCCCTGATTGACCAACTAAAGTCCAAGAAAGGCTCAGAGTACTACTACTGAAAGGGTTTTGTTCTCCATCACAGATTGGCATCCTATGCTTCACAATTGCATTCAGGTATGCTCAGGTGCACCATTGTGCTACCATGTGGGCCTGAGAATTGGTAGAAATATGCCACAAGCCCTCATGTGATTGGCAGAGAAAAGAAGACTACCTCAGTGTACATGATTTCTCTCTTACTACTATACCCATAAATCTTTGTTTGAATAAATTGAAAATTATGTATATAAAAAAACACATATATTAGACATGAAACATACGTACGTACTTGTATTGTACATTTGCTTTTTTAGAAAAGTGTATTCTCTAAATTACTCTGATCAATAAATGAAATTCAAGGAATTTAAAAATAAAATAAAATAAAAAACTTGTATAGCCGTACGTCTATACTATTTATTACAAAAAGTTTAAAAAAACCCAAATATGGCTATACTATTTATTAGAACAATTCAGCAATTAAATACAGTATAGCCGATCGGCTATACTATTTAATTATATTATATTTAAAAATATATTTTAAAAACTTTAATAAAAAATTGAGCTATAGCCGCACGGCTATACTATCTATTAAAAAATTTAAAAAACTTGAGTATAGCCGCATGGCTATACTATTTAATTATTTTACTATTTTATACATAGAAGAATGCATTCATATGTTACAGACATGTAGAGAAGCATTTTGTATTTAATACAGCACATAGGATTTAGAAAAGTTTTAAAAAAATCTAAAATATAGCCTCACAGCCATACTATTTATTTTAAAAAGTTATTATAAAAAAAACCAAGTATAGCCGAAGTATAGCCGCATGGCGATACTATTTATTAGAAAAATTTAGAAAAAAAAATGAAGTATAGCTGCGCCCATACTACTTAATTATAATAGTATTTTATGAGTATTGCTAAACAAACCCTAAAATTAACTGAATACACACCCTATAATCTAAGTACACCCTAATATTTAAATCAAAATGTAAAATTAACTAAATACACTCTATTTTGCTACCAAAAATACCCCTGGTACACCCTAATACACTCTATCCCTCCAAAAAAACCAACAACACGATCCCTTTTTTCCATACCTTGATTCTCAAAGTTTTTAACTATACAATCTGGACAATATTGTTCTTTTTGATGTATCCTAAATCTAACTAATGATACAAAAACGTTCAACATAATTCTTTGATATTGATTCTAAATCAAATAATAAGTAATACAAAGGGAATCACTCTTATTATTTTGCAGCTTTCCCAAGAAACACAGTATTTCATGAAGAATTTTTGGGCTTTTGATTTCGGTTGCTACGTCGCGTAGCTCAACGCAACCCCTGATTTGGAGATGGTGGCTTATTTTTAGCATAACTTGATACGTAATAATTCATCCCAAGAAAATCTAAACTTCCCTTGAACATCATTTTCTCTTCTTCAGTACACTTAGGCAGCCTCTCCTTCACCAAGTCTCTCATGCTTTTTGGATACTCTCCGAACACAAATGGATCCATAAACCATCCTGGTGGGGCAATCCCCAGCTCATAACCATAAGATGCAAGAATTCTTGGCTCATTAAATGTGTACCAATATTTAACCCTATCTCCAAATAAATGTGTACCAATATGCAATCCCCGCCTATCAAATAACATCTCAGTTGGAGATGCTTTAATACCTTTTATTCTATTACAATTTTAGTACCTGCTTAAATCAAACCGTACCAACAATTTTAGTCATGTCACATACAATATTAATATAACAATATCTTATGTGCTAAAATGAAACACTGAGAGAGACTCCATCGACAAATGTCAAATTCAGAATCTTAATTATGTCCTAACCTTCATTTCCATGACTTATTTTCTTGTTGTCAACTAAAATCCGTGAAGTTTAATAATATTCTTATCCACAAGAAAGTTAGGCCATTACAATCACCTAACTACAATTAGACATCAAATCATTTACAAATATATATTGTTGTAACTTGTATGTAGTTGAATCTTCGTTGTATCAAACGAAAACAAATACCACTGGACCAAACACTATGGCATTTTGGCATGACAACGCCCTCACCGACACTTTCCCGCGAAATGTAATTGAGGCGTAACGTACGCTTTAGTCACGATGAGTCATGTGACCGGACAAAAACAGTTTTATTAGGACAGGACTGCGACTGTCCCTCGTCCTCTACGCAGCTTTCGCCAATCCCACCAAATCCTCCGAAGCTTCTCGCTTGCACTCGCGCACGTCGCCCAATCAATTCACTCGTTTGATCCCATGTCGGATTTCAGCGCGTACGAATGCCCCCAACATTAACTAATATTAACTCAAATTCCATAAATCTTAAAACACACGAGAACAAAAACAAAACCAAAAAAAGAGATTATGGTCACCGACACTTAGAGTTTCTTTTCCTACAACATATTCTTTACGTCTTGCTTGGTTCTCGAGAAAATGGAATGCTGGAAAATTTTTGAATTCGAATTTTCTTGGGGATGGTGGGATTAGTGGAGTTTAAAGTAGTGAAACGTCAGTGTCACCTCAGCTAATTGATACTTTTGACCCAAAAAATAACTAATTAATAGCGTTCATCCTTCTTAGTGGGCGAATTAATAATTTGATTTGGAGAGGTTTCATGGAAAATCCAAAATTTCTATTCTTTTCCCCCCACCCTTTCTTTTCTTCCAAAAAAAACCAGATAAGACCAAGCACCAAACTGAACACTAAAAAGTTACAAAGAAAATGAAGAAGAAAAACTTATGTATTAATTAACATAAAATAAAATAATTTACAAAACCCATCTCAATTAATCATCTTCATCCCCCTTTGACGATGGCGATGATGTTGGATCTCTGCAAAATTTAAAGCTATTATGGTCTTCCATTTTCTCCACAACAAAATGCCCCAAGCTATCCACAGCCTCCACCAAGTTTTCCCGGCAAAGAAACTCGTCGCTAAAAACCCTCTCAACCTCTCTGTTTAAATCGTGGACAAACACATGGGTCGTGGCTCTGCCGCCCCTTTTGCTCCGAGCAAAAACTCCGGCGGTGAAGATCGCCGACATCCGCCCCGGGGCCGCCGGCGA